TTGGCGGAGTATCCATGGGCAGGAAAGATGACATATCTTTGAGAATGTCGGCGACCCAACTTGGAGACAGCGATCTCTATGCCACAGGAAGTGTGGCGAGCGTTCAATCAGCGCGTCAAGAAACGGACTCTTCGCCTTTTCTTGGTCCCGTATCGCTTGGCGGAAGTCCGCGATACGTCCCCCAGCCTCACGATACTTGGCCTTTTCTTTCGTGTCAGACAACTTGTCTATGCTTACGCATCAAAAATGTTTATAGTTTCCCTGGTGCTACATTGCAGCTAGGGATGACGGCGAGGCCATCAATATTTCAACTCCCACCATTCGCGAATGCCCCATCGCAGGAGATTACTTGCAGCCTGGTTAGTCTCGAAAACCAAGCAGGAATCTCTGCTGGTACTCTTCGTCACATGAAGAAGGGTGGAGTCAAGCCAGGCGATACCGTTGATCTCATAGCCATATCTACAGGAACCATCGACTCTACCGGTGTTGAAGGTGATGAAGAGGATAAGCTGTATAGGCTGATGGAATCCGCATATGTTGACAACGGTCCGGCAGATGCAGAAAATTCTGGGTCTCTTCGTCACTACGAGTGTGTATACACCTCTGAGTATGAAGGTCAGTAGAACGAGCCTGCTTACATCCTGTGGGATGCCGAGCTAACAAATCCCTAGAAGTCAAGAAAGAGATGGAATTGTATGGCATAGAAGGCCCAGATGGACGAGAGTACCACTTCTACAATGTTCTATGGGTTGAGCGCAAGGAAGAAATAGCATATCGGTGTGCGGCAGGACGCGTACCGAAGACGATATGGGATGCGAGCTGTACGCCGCCAACAAAGATCATCCTTGGTTGATTACTGTTGATCAACAGATCAGACTGCATCTCTATTTAGCCTCTACATCCGCATCACTCTCTTGTATTTGTAATCAAGTCTCTAGTCGGGTAAGCGGCATCACATGCGCGGAAACTAATCAGCAAGCTTCGCGCTATGAGCATGCGTTCGCAGCTTCAAGAGCTACATACAGATGCAGTAATTTCTTCGACTGCGTTACTCGCGCATTGTTTGGGCGAATTGTAACGGTGTCCGTCTCGGACGAGAGTGCTGAACTGCCAAAGGCAACAATGTGATAACGCACAGTCAGTGCATGAGCATTAGAGATTAGACGGTTGAGGGTGCATGAAGGAAGCGACTAGAGATCAAACATGCGCCAAGCGTGCGTCTCCGGACGAATCTCAACGGTCTTTGGCCGGACGCGATCATGTTCCTATGTAGGAACAAAAGGTAAGTGGTAACCAGCTTGTATTGCCTGCTACTTAAGAAGGTCCATTACTGACCAAGCAGCCACTCAAACCAGTCCGTCTGTAGAGTAACCCTCAACATGGTCAAGATATTCGCGTAAGCCTTCCGTCCAAACTGTTCCAAAGAGACTTGCTAAACTTTGCGTCAATCATAAAGCGTCGGGGTTACTGGATGGGTTGGCAATGCAAGCGCTCGTGCAATTGCAGCTGCGCATCCCGAATACGAATGGATAGTCCTCCTCCGAGACAAGGCGAAAGAGGAGAGTGTGAAGCGCTTCCTGCCCCAAGGGACACAATTTGTGATCGGAGACTTTGACAGTCACGACATCATCTCCTCTGCGGCAGCTGCCGCAGACGTAGTCATAAATTGGGGCAGCAGTGACCATGAGCCGCTCACCAAATCCATCATCGATGGCATGAAGAAGAACAAATCCACCTGCTACCTCATCCACACCTCAGGCTGCGGTATACTCACCGGTGAAGTTGCCAGAAGCGGAATCTACGGCCAGGCTACCACCAAGATCTACGACGACTGGGACAATGCAAGCGACCTCCTCACGCTCCCTCCCGAAGCGCCACACATGAACATCGACACCATGATCCTAGCGCTTGACCGCGAAGCGCCGCATATCAAAACCATGATCGTCTGCCCACCGATCATATACGGCATGAGCCACGCCCAGGACACGCAGGAGCGTAGCGCAGCACGGCAATACGTCAACTCCATCCTAGATCGCGGAAAGGGCTTTGCAGTTGGCGACGGCAAGGCAATCGTCAACACGGTACACATCACCGATCTAGCAAGCTTCTTCGTCAAGGCTACGGAAGCAGCCGCACAGGGCGGTGGCGCGGCAACATGGGGAGGAGTGAACTCGTACTACTTTGTGGAAAGCGGCGAGATGGTCTGGGGCGAATTTGCGCAAGCTGTTAGCAAAGCGGCTTTTGAGAGGGGGCAGCTGGACACCCCGGATGTGGACTACCTCAGCGCAGAGGAGGCAATGGAGGTTGACCCGATTAGCAAGATTGGTTACGGCTCCAGTGCGAGGTCCAAGGCTGTTCGCGTTTACAAGACTCTCGATTGGAAGCCGCAGATGCTTGGGATCTATGAGGATTACCTTTCGAACTGGCGGTTCAAGGCGGGCGATCCGCACTTGTTTATGTAAGGTCGCAGGCGCAGATCGTGGGTTGCGCAAGCGACCCACACCTTCGGTAGAGCCATGGTTCGCTGCATCTCTAGACTGTGAGCAAAAAGAAGTACACAACAGTGATGCGCGCTATCTTCTTGAGCGATCTGAGTGCGCTTCTCACGATGTCGACGGCGATTCATAGATTTTGAGGGGGCAAAAAGAAGAGCAAAAACATACAACAGCGGGGATTCGCTAGTGGTCACCCACCTAACTACTAATCCGCCGGTATCATGCTTGTATATGGCTGAGCGGACGGGAAGCCTAATTTTCATGATCCTATGGTCGTATGTGGAAGTCTAGATGATTTGACTACCTATATTGGCGCTGTTGACGGTCGTCCATGTTCACGCGAGCGAAGCCGTGTGTGGTGGACGCTCGGATGCTTCTCGGTCATGCGTGGCGCTGTCGCGGTGGAACTCAGCTGGCCAACACAGCATAAGTAAACCATGGCATCGCCTAAGACCGGCAACAAAGATGTAGGATGTGTGTTGGAAGAGAGTAACCCGTGAATTGACTTGTCGGTGCCTGATTCCCCTGATGCACGCTCTGGCCACCAGCATCCGTCGCATCTGCGCTAGTGTGGGGGAAACACTAGTAGCTTGGCGCCCCTCAGCTTACCTGTGAACCTCGATGAACCTTCCACCTGGGCACGTCCGCAGGGAAAAGGCACACATCCCGAGGTCACTATCTACAACTTCAGGACGCTCAACATGCCACACGCAGCAGACTCAGACGATGCAAAGCTTACCGCCACCCATGTCGCCGTCCGAGAGGCACGCAGTCTAGCCAACAAAGCCACGCTTAGCCAATTGACTTCAATGGTGAGCCACGACCCTGCTGCAGATATAGCTGAAGTCTTGAAGCGAGAAGCAACAGCGTATCCTCGTCTAGTCAATGAGCTCTCCGTAGCGTTTAATTCGTCCCCAATTAATGAAACGCACAACAAAGATCACCAGCCTTCCGTTGCGACTGGGCTACTGGACCTGCCAGTGGATGGCACCGTCGAAGTCACTCACTCTTTGGACCAATCGGTTCTGGGTCTATTACATGCGATAGCCGAGTGCGACAAAGTTCTCAGCCATATACCCAAAGAAATGGCGGCAGCATTCAACCAGCTAATACGCGGCGGAAAGATCCTATTTCAGCTCCACGAAACCTTCGTCGTCGAGATCGGGCCGAGCCATGTAGTCAAAGTCGCCCTGTCTCTTGATCCTGATCACATCGATAATATACAATACGTTGCCACACATGTGCCGGAGCTCCCGATCCCCGACTGCCTAGGCGTTTTACGTAGTGACCAAAGGACTTATCTGTTCATGTCCCGAGCAACAGGCACTACACTGGAAAGTGTCTGGCCAGATCTCTCCGCTACACAGAAGACATCCGTACAGGAGCAGCTGAACTCTTTGTTCCAGCACCTTCGCACTCCTACCGCTGAGGACTCTGGGTCCGGTGTACGTCTAGGAAGTTTTACGTCGGGACTATGCAAAGACGTAAGGAGAATTAAACGAGTAAGCTCAGCACCACTACGCACCGAAGCGGAATTCAACGACTTCCTTCTCCAACACCCCAAGAAAACAGTAACGCCATGGGTTAAATTGCTTCGAAGCTCTATGAAGGACGATCATCGCATTGTAATGACTCATGGTGACTTGCACCCCCGAAACATCATGGTGACTCTAGATGATAGGCAGGCTATTCCAATACAGGGTGAGGTGATGCACACTGAACATAAGGTCGTTCGAGTGTCGGCTATCATCGACTGGGAGGCGGCAGGCTGGTATCCAGAGTCTTGGGAATTCGTCAAAGCCGTGAGCATGATCGGTCCTCGTGGCCCCTTAAGTGACTGGATCGACTTCCTACCCACCGATGCTATCGGATACTTCCCCATGGAATTCTCTATCGACCGTCTGCTCAACCAGTGGCTTGGATGATGAAGGGAATGGCATGCTCTAGAACGCATCGGATTAGGAGCAAGAGATAAGCGGACCCTTACACCTGCGTACATCTATAACGCACGAGCTTGGGGGCGGTAACAGGGGACCCGCAGCAAAACGGAGCGCGTGGGGAAACAACACCAACAATGAATGCGTAGCAGTCGCAAACATGGCGGGCGCGCAACGTGAGAAGTGTAAGGAAGTGATCCATGGATCAGAACGTCGATGCGCGCATCCCCCTGATGCACGCTCAGGCCACCAACATCCGCGCATCCGCGCTAGTGTGGGGGAAGCGAGATTCGGGTAAGAAGATGGGGCGGAATGCAGTTAGTAGACAGTTTCAAGCTCTTGCATCGAAACATGCTGCCTGCGCGAAGGATTGCTGCTGGGCCTTTTGGCCCCAAGAGTCAAGGCACCTATAACGCAACCCCGGCCGACTGATCTGGTCGCAACTTCCCAGCGCCAGCCGCACCACATTTTGTCGCAATTTGTTGTCGAGGAGCAAAGTTGCCATAGCTTACCTACAAGACTCAGACCGACTACACCAGATCTCATTGCCTTTTCCGTATCAGCACTCATGGCTCCGACGCTGAGAATTAGGGGCAATGCGCAAGCCTCGAAGACTGTTGCTAGTACTGGAGATAAGAGAAAACGAGGTGGAGCTTCAGCTACACATGCGGATCCGGCGCCAAAGAAACGGAAAGGGAAGAAGACAGCGGATACTCTACGAACGAGAGAAGTATCGCATCTCCAAGAACCTCAGACAGCGGATGCTGTTTCCGACAAACGAACAGCTTGCCAGAAAGCTGCTGAAGACGAGGCAAAAACCAAAGAGTTCCGCATCAAGTTCTATCCGGAATTCTACCCACCGCATCCAGGAGATGTCCCTGAAGAACATCAGATAAAGTTCAAGCATATTCAGCAACTGGGCAAGATGAGCTACGAGTCGTATGCGATACAACCTCGACCTGACACCATCGACAAGCCATGGGAGCTCGAGAACAAGAGGCGGGCTAAGCAGATGATCTACTGGGCTGTTCGATCGAGGGATGATTACCAGAACGAGGATAGCTGGAGAATGGAACTTGAGCCCTACGTCTTTAAACGGTTTAAGATCGAGGTTGGATGGTATGATACATCTGATCTACTTCATGTCTCGCACGCTGACCGAAAGTAGCCAAGGATGTCGGAGACGTCTGTGGGAATCTTGCATCCAGGTGGATCCGAAACACAGCAACAGTCGAACGATGTCGCTCGTAGAGCGTCAGAAACGTCGTTCAGGATGCTCGTGTGAGCCATTGGCAAAACAGCATAGCATGTGAGTCGATAGATTCACCAAGCAAGCGAATCACAGCTGATCATGTGATTAGTTTGAGTACAGGACTGACCGATATCTTCACTTATCGTATTGGCGAGCGAAGCCTCATCCAGAACGACCCGGAGAATCGTCATCGAATTAAGGAGCAGCCTGATCGAGTCTACGGACTAAGGACTACCGAAGCCATGGCGGAGAGTTTGCAGCAACTACACATTTCCCACTTGGGAGAGAACACTGCACTCAAATATCTGTCTAAGAGACTAACTATGAGCTGCAATCCAGACGGTGGTGACCAACCCTGCATATACCCTTTCCTAGCGATGGAAGCCAAGAGCCACAAAGGCGATGGCAATTGGAAAGACATCGAGACGCAAACAGCAATACCGATACGAAACCATCTGCACCTACAGCTGCAACTCCAAGATGACCCGGACAACAAGATGAAGGTACCTGGAGGCCCGCTATCTTGGTTTCTAGCGTACAGGGGAGAAGAATGGAAGGTATACGGATGTTACGTCACAAAGTCTAGTCCAGACAGTCTGCCTTCTTACGTAAGTTGATACATGGCTTTTCCAATGGGTTTACTAATATCTCGGCAGAAAGTCATCCTTCTATGGGAGGGGAGCATCACCCGCCACGATGCAGCGCTCCAATTGGTTCTCATCATGGACTACATCGTTGATTGGGCGCGTGATATCTACCGGCCCAACATCATTCGACAACTGAAGTCTGTAGTAGATAAAGGGCAGCAGTCTTCCTACACAGTCACCGCTGACCCCAACATCCTCTCAAGGACTGGTTACGCCAACTCTCGGATTGGCGATGGACCTTTCGCTGCCATTAGCAGAGCTGAAACCACTGAGGTGCTTGCGAAACCAGCCTTCGATGCAATAAACTCCACTATTGTGCCTTCTTTCGAACCCCTCTTTAAGAGCACTGGAAATCATATCGATATTAGGGTCTGGGACAGCGCCAAGTACGAGTCACGAGTACGAGGACTGTATATCACTGAAACCGATGATGATGCTAAGAAAAACTTCATGGGCGCGGGCTGGGAAAGATTGAGAACGGTTCATGCGAGCCGCTGTTGGTTCTTTCTATCAAGCGCCCAGGGACTCAAGATCATCGAACAGGCATGGACCGGCCTCCAAGACACCAAGGACGTCCAAGACACCACGGACGTCCAAGACACCACGGACGTCCAAAATCTTCAGCGGCCAAAGATCTTGGTTTCGCTTTATGTGCGATACCGCAAGGACAGTGACGGTGCACCTATTCGAGAATTGACGTATATCGCGCTCACTGAGTCAATCGCCCAGGGCTTGTGGAGACTGGAAGACGTATTAGCGCGGAAAGAGCTAGTTGTTGAAGCAGACGTACTTGACTTCAAGCTGCGTGAAGCCTGGGCTTCAAGCCCCGAGAGCTACTTTCGACGTTACGCCAGCGACCAGACCAACGTGCTTTGTGTCACCGCATCTGAACAAGAGAAACTGGATGGTCGTGTCGCCCTCAGCTTCCACAGCGACAGCGAAGTCACGCCATGGGCAAGACGTCTGGATACTTTCATCAAGCGCACTTGTGAGAATCCACGAGCGGTGCTTCACAAAGCTTACGCACCATGTTACCGATTCACAACGGCCTATCATTCGCTTTCGGTGAAGCCCTATTGTGTCTCAGACCCTACCCAAGACTGTGTTTTCATAAACACAGCAGCGATCGTAAACACGGCAGGGAAGCCCTCTGGAATATGCGCCTACGTCACGAATCCAGCATCTGAAGAGGTCGACGCTACATGGGTAATCCGACATCTCGTGCAGATGGTAATGGTCTTTTGGGACAGCAGACGACGAGAGGAAGCTCCAGGAACCACCTTTTATAAACAACGGCAAGAGAGAGAGAGAACCTTCCATAGGGGATTAAGAGATCCTGACAATGATATCCTACTCTGGATTGTGTCAGATCCTCAATGGGATCTGTACGCTGCGATCAAGCCTGCTTTGACAATGCCTGGTATGGACAAAGTCCACGAACGTCTGGCATGGTTCCGCAAAGTGTTGCTCAGACACAAATGTGGAAAAGGTACTTACAGAATGAATGCATACAAGAATGGCCGCAGAAACATTCAACGGGACTTTCAGCAAGCTTGCAAAAATTGCAACTTCAAGAGCTTGTCGCGATCTTACGTCCCCATATATCATTACTCCGACGAAGACTTCATGCCAGTATAGCTTTCTTAGATTAGTTTCAGATTGTTACATGTGTACCAATATATATCACTATACCTAATAGCTACTCAATCAAAACACACATATAAAGACCATTTGCAGCCGAATTTCGAAGGAAAAGCCAGCACCCATTACATTGGCTGCCTGGTCCACGCCTATGAGATGTCAGCCGTATCCATATTCACATCCTCAGCGCAGGCGACTACACACCTTGCAGCACAGTTAGAATAAGAGTGTACACCCTAGAATCCACCGACTAAGAGCGACGCAACCGCGGATAGGTAAGCGGTTGCCTGCTCACTGAAGCGTCAACCTTGGTACAACGTCAACGCTAACTCATATCAGCCAACACCAATACGTTGCAACAGCTTTTTCAAATTTCGCCCGCATAACTTGTAGACTACCGACTCGCTTTACCCTTTACTACTTCGACGACAACCACGGTGAGACCTTACCCTATCACTATACAAACAACAAGATAAGAACCCTTTTGCGCTGAACACCTTCCCGCCAACACCACAAACACGACTTCGCCATGCTATCGCAAATACGCACCCGCCTCCAATCATGGTGGCAACAAACACCTTTACCAGCAGCTGCCGCAACACCTAACTTCCAGAAGTGGCACATCTTTGACCAAGACCGGTGGGTTTCTTTTGCCAGCGACGAAGCCACTCAGCTTGGCATCAAACACCAGTGGGCGGGCTCATTCCGCCTCGTGAGCTGGAATGTGAACGCAGATGCACCGTTACCAAAGTCTCGTATGTCCGCACTACTGCAGGCTATCAAAACCACCGGAGCAGCAGACATTGTCTTGTTGCAAGAGGTATCACGGGAACAGCTTAAAGCACTGCTTGAAGATTCCTGGATACAGCAAAACTGGTACATCAGCGATGTTAACGCTTCGGCTTTCGGAACCCAGAAGTTCCTCAGCATCACATTGGTATCCAAGCCCTGGGTAGTCGCCGATGGCATCCAGTTAGGCGCTATGTGGAGGGTCGCGTTACCGAGTCGTTTTGGACGAGACGCGCTGTGTTGCGATCTGATCTTTAACTCTTCGCGCAAGCAAACGTCAGGCAAAGAGCCTACACGAGTTCGCCTGATCAACGTCCACTTGGATTCGCTGCCAATCAATCCGTCGATGAGGCCGCGTCAAGTCTCCATCTGCGCTTCATACCTCGGGGCTGCTGGTCGTGGGATCGTCGCCGGCGACTTCAATTGCATTCTTCCGGAAGATGACGAGCTTGTCAGTAACAACGGTCTTGCGGACGCGTGGGAAGAGCTTCATCCAAACGATCCCGGCCACACCTGGGGGTTGTACGGGGAACAGTCTTTCCCGCCAAACCGGTTGGACAAAGTCGCTCTGTTTAACCTCAACCCTTCAGCCATGCGCGTCCTGCAAACGAGCGAAATGGAATCCTACGGCGCGGAGACGTCGGCCGACGTAGCAGAAAAGGGGTCAAATGCGCATTTCAGCGATCATTTGGGTCTTTGGTGTGACATTAGCTGGGTAGAAGACCGACCGCGGCAGGAACGATGAGGCGACGTGACTAGATGCTAAGACGGTCGGAGCTGGCAATGTCGAATTCCCGCGACTTGATGGAAGCACTGTACATAGGAGAGTAGGACGACGTCTCATGCCCGTCGGCCGACGGTGGCCCTCCAACACCGCCGACGCCCGTGAAATTTCGGGGTCGGCCGCCCGACATGCGACACCACCGTCAGACCAAGAGCTCAACATTGCCCAGACAGGCAACACACGTCGAAAACCATCGAAACCCTTCGGCATTGCGGTGCGACAGGCCCGACAGCCATCGGGGCGCCGGATTTGATGACGATGCGATGCCCCGTCTTGTCTGCGACTAGAAAGACGGGGCGATTTCCTGGATGTTGCTTGGCGAGACCGGCGGGTTTTGGGAAGGGAGGACCGAGACCGAGATCGAGGGCGCGTTGGGGCAGGTTCGGCACGTGATGAGTGACGGGTGACACGGTCAGTGTCGGCATCGTATCGCCGCCTTGGATATCTTCAAGGCTGACTTCATTTCACGATGCTGAAGAACCTTGGAAGCTGGAAGACTGCGCGATGCCGACACCCCAGGCATTGTCGGTTATCGCACGCTAGCCGATAAGACCGCCGACTTCACCGAAGCAGGAGGCCTTTGATCGATGCCGCAACGAGCAACGATCTGGGTGTAGTCTTGCGAATATCAAACACGCGGGAGGGGATGAAGATCGCGTGAAAGTCTCTGTGAAGAAGTTCGGCTTGTATCTAGGTATGATCCTCAGTCGTCTTTGTTCCCGTCTTGGTCACACATCTTGGCACGTGATCATCAGAGACATTGCAATTGCGCCCTTCTCACTCAGCAGCTTTTCAAAATGCTGCACGATTGTCATACAATCTATCTTAGACAGCTTTGCAACCGCTATCTCGAGGCCGAAGGCCGTTACAGCTACTCGTTCCGGTCTGCCTTGTCCAATGAGAAGTGAAGCTGACCGATCCGGCTAGACTGAGGTCCCTGCATGCAGGTCAGGTCCCGCAGACGCAGGGTCCAACCGGTCGTCGGCGAGAAGGAAAGATGGAAAGTCTGGGGTCTCTTGACACACCTTTGCGCTCGCTATCGTCAGATGCTCTACTTGAGCTGTCAAACGACGCGATCTACTAGCCATAACATAGCCTACATCAGCTCCAAACTTCTATGGAGATATAGGGAGCAGGCCAGGAGCTGGAAACCACATCGATCTGACATGCTTGAACCTCCACCGCCTTCTCCACGCGACCTCAGAATAGCCGAACCTCGAGCATGGGCCATGGATCTATCCCCCGGCTCGGCTTCCCATCTTGGATGACACGAACGTGTGGTTGGTCGGATTGGTTGGAAAGCACCGCCTCGTCTTATCAGCTAATCCGGGGGACTGCCATGAAGCATATCGGCGTATCTGCAATGAGCCGTCGGCCCAAGCTCCTGGTAAGAGTCAGAAGTGATGAGCATAAAGACGCGGTGATGTCCTTCGAGAGCTCTTATGACCTATCTTATTTTGAATGAAAACTGTTTTGGACACCATCGGCGTGGACTTGAAGTAAAACATATCAAGAAGGAACGAGCACATCTCCAAGACTTCCAATTGCGGTTTCTTTTTCGGGAGTAACACACCAAAAGGTGAGTACCAAGTAAACGATAGATCTTGCATACAGCTCCGTTGGAGCCACGACTACAATGCAGGGTCTAGAATCCACACTCCATGTCCCGCGGAAGCACAACCCACGAACGCAAGGGAGATCTACAGGGGAAGAAGCGGTCAGCTAACGTGTATATGTATAGCATCGTTACACATAACGACACTATCCAGACAGCCATTGTTCCGCCGGCTGGCATACCCAAGCACAAATACCTATCCAACCAACTCCAACGAACAATCTGGTGTTAGATTCAAGATGTGCTCATACACATACTCGTGGTATTACTGTAACCACGATTACTACATCTGGTACGCCCTCCTACCCCTCCCCCAGTCCCTCAAACCACCAACTCGAACTAACACCTCCCCAGGGCCAACAGCATCGAAGTCTGTTCCTCGCGCCTCCTCTCCGGCTACTCCTACGACGCCTGGTCCATCGACATGTGCTCTAAGATGAAGATCGAATGCGGCGGCTTCTCGAATTACTACTGCACTGATTGTTCAGAAGACGTGGCGTTGGAGTTTGAGTTGGATGAACTGTAGATGGGAAGACTGGATGAATACGCTTCATCTTTCGTTTCGGCTGACGGGGAAGACAAGCGGGTATGCAGGGTGAGTGAGTGGAGTGCGCGGAGACGGATTCCACGTCCGATGGGATACGGCATGAGAGCTGACTTGTCCTGCAGGGCGACTGCGCATAGCGTTGTGATGGCACGCGTGCGTGTTTGGAGTTATTGGCCGGATGAGGCTCACCGCCTTGTTGATGCACGTCCTGTACCGTCAGCCTCGTGCATGCTGCATACTGCACGCTGCATCAATCCTACGCGGTACTTTCCTTTTTACCTTTTCGGCCTGTGTTGGACGCGCTATACCTTTTCATTGTATGATTTGGCTTATCGGCGCACCCAGGCGCATTCACCGGCTTCTGAGCCTTGTTCGAAATGGAATGTTTTGGGATAGGCGTTCGGGATCATGAGAGACTTTGGTCAAGTTGTTGGATACTGTTCTTATAAGCTTAATTGCAGCATACTGATCGCATGCTGTATAGCATTGACCCAAACCTCCATCTGCCTTGTTCCTGCCTATAATGTGACATCGAGGCCTCACTCTGTCAAACTATCCTCTGCCGTCTTCGGGCTGACACCATATCCTTCCTCCAGTGTCCGCTTGACCTGCTCAGCTCGCCTCCTTGCATCAATATACATCATGAACTCCTGGTAGGTCCTCGGCATGACCCTAATGTTCTTCGGTACCGTGAACGTGTAGTTGAACTGCCCTGTCGGCTTGCTGTGGCCATGCTCCACATCCCGCACCTTTGAGTCAATCCTAATCTGCACTCGTGTGTATTCGGCTTGATCGTCGACCTTTTCGTCCGGCGCGCCAATCAGCGGCGGGTCTGTGTATACGACTGTAGCCGTGAGGTATAGTATGCTGCCCACAGGCACTGGGTTTTGGAAGGTGGAGGGATCGAGGGAGACGAAGGTTGGGCGGGCGTGTGCGAAGGCTGCGGCGGCGGTGAAAGCGAGTTCGAAGGTCTGCTTTAGGAGGAAGCCACCGAAGATCATGAAATGATGTCGGTTGCGGTATTGCGGTTGCATGATTGTGGCGGTCTGGAGACGTGTCGCATCCATAAAAACAACGTTATCGGGTTTGCGTAGGTCATCGTAGGGGTCTGCGATTGTTAGTTGGGGGATAAGTAGTGGTAGCGATAGGACTGACCATGATACTGCAACTGCTTTTGCCAGAAGGCGTGTATGAGGTCGCTTTCGAGGTCGTTCGGCGTATGCTTGAGCAAAGAGGTATCTCGGCGCTCCTTTCGCACTTTCGAGTTACGCTCACCGAGAGCATACAGGCGTTTCTCTTCGGGCGTCTCGACGATTAGGGGATTGACGTTTACGGGCCTGCGGACCAGTTAGCTGCCAGAATCCTTACCCACTATATTGATCTTTACTTCTTGGTGCCTGGATCTAGTGAGACCATGGTGAAGGTGCAGTTGATCAGGACATCCTCGTCTTGGGCCTGTTCGCCTTCCTTAGGCGCTTTGGCAACCTGCATCGTGATTTCCAGACTGCTTCGGCCAGTCGCATAGGTCACGCGGCCAGACAGCTCTAGATCGCATATCTCGGTCAGTGGGGAGTGAATGGTAATGCGGTCGCAGCTAGCCGTAACAGTAGTCACGTCGTCTCCGGTATGCTTGTACCTGTTGCAGCATTCAGACCAGGTCAGCTACTACGCGTAGCTGTTAAACGCTTACGCAATGATGCCAGAGAGAGCATCGAGATCCATGAAGATGGTTCCGAGCCGTATGTGCCCTGAGGCGTTAAGATACGTGTCGAGGATCCATGGGTCCTGAGCCAGCGGGAGTACAACCGAATGGTAGCTCTCGCTCATACGTTTCCCTGTCAGCTTGCGATCTTTGGGTACTTCGGGCTTTCCTGAAGGCTCCGTAGGTTGTTTCCCCTCTGACTGCTGTTGGCGCAAGGCTTCTATCCATGGGGTGCGCACGCGCATCGACGTGAGCTCTCGAAATACGCCATCGGTGCGTCGCGAGGGGCTGCAATGAAGATGTCTTCGACCAATTGAGCCCGCGACTGCTACTGGAGACCTGCAAATGGTGTTTTGGGGCAATGCAGCTTGACTGACGCGCCGAAGCGCGTTGGTGGTGAGGCTCCTCATGTTGCGACGCGAGGTGGAGGTTGCAGGACTCGCGAGCCCGCGAGGAAGCAACAACCCTCAGGGTGCTTGCCGAACCCATCTCTTGGCACCGATAACGATACATCACAATCTCAGACCCCGTCGCTCCACCAATCTCTGCAATGCCCATGTCGCTGCTTTCGCCTCCTCCACAGACCGGAGTCTGGTTGGACGATAATGTCGAGATCAATCGAGCTCGGGCGCGCAGTGCTCAGCTCGCCTGCTACTGATCACGAGCTTTGGCTCACAACATTGATCACCATCTCACCAAAACAGGATGCAACTTACCTACAGCAAGTAACATCAGCCGAATATCTAGACGCGTTGACATCTGGTGCTGTATGGGTGAGCCGTGGACATGACATGCACATTGACATGACGCTCAGTCTACGCGATGAGCACTTGCCTAACAAGCAGCTGCAAGACCTCGCAAATGCCGTTCTTGGTGCGCCGGTGAGTATAATTGCTCCTGTTTTGGGATGATATTGACAAAGTGTAGGTCTGGGATCAGTTGACGTTGAAGCCAACGCATCGAACAGATATCGCGATGGATCCCGGGACAATACGTCTGGACATCAACCACTCCTCAGTCACGAGCATGCAAGAAGGAAAGAAGCGTCACCGACTCTTCTCGGATGTTCCAGCGGTAGACATTCAACCGCCCAAGGG